ACCTGCCTTGTCCCACTGTGCCTGCATAATTTAACCCATTGCCTGATTCTCCCTACTGACCCTGCTTCACTCTGTCTTTCTGAGAGCCTTGGCTCCCTGCCTCTTGTTCTCCTGTCTCAGGAGAAAGTGGTTCCCAAGGTGCTCAGAGCAGCGAGGCCAGAAAACCAGGGCACTTCTCCAGCTCACCTAATTGCTGGTTACTGCCCCTCTCCCTCAGTGCCTAATTAAATAGAGCAGGAGGAAAGCCCAGGAGAAGCTGCTGAAGGCACAGGAACATGTGTGCACATTATGAGGAGGCTGGTGAGGGGCCTCATCTAGACAGGCTGCTCCAGAAACAGCAGGAGCCAAGTGATGCTGGGAAGAAGCTCAAGCAGAGACCAGACTTGATGTTCAGACCTGGATGCACACATACAACGCTTCATACACGCTTCTTCCTAAGTGATCTGCAAGACAGCTATTAGGTTAACAAGAGCAGAGAAAAGAGCTCATCCCGCAGGCAATGTGGTAGGAAGGAGCATGTTCAGGGTTGGTGGTCATGCTTCCAGCTCTTAGGGCTCCCAGCTCTCAGCTAGAGCATCACCTTCCTTGTCTCCTACCCCAGACTTTAAGCTAACCCTTTTCTATTGAATTTTCATCATGGCTAGCTTGAACCCAGCACCAGGAGTGCATGAGACATGAAAGACCATCTCCAAACTGATTTCCTGGCTGCCTCAGCCTTGTAATCCCTCAGAATTGTGGGTGGGTGTATTTGTGCACTGGCCCAGGGTTAGGCTGAAAACCCCTGTGCAGACCTGACTCTTTGCCCCATTGCTTTGAAAGGATTTCAAAAGACCCATTTCAGCTTTGAATGCTTGACTCAAATCTGCTGCAAGCCAGGGCTGCCAGCCCCAGCTGCCCAGCTGTGGTGTGTTGAAGGGAAGGAATCCCTCTCCACCAGTGCAATAACTGCAAAGCTGAAATCCCTGGGAAGATGTCATTGCAGGCAGAGGAAGAGCCAAGCCGGTATTACAGACCAGACATGATGCTGGTCCCAGCTCCTTGCTGGATCACTGCATTCCCATGGCCAAACCAGCTCAGGTCTAGTTCCCGCTCTCAGCTGGAGATAAGCAGCCAGACTGCTGAATTCACCCATGGTGTCCCGAAGGAGGTGCTGCACGTGTGTGCATGTCACTGCGTGCAGGCAGAGACACCCAATACACACCCAAGCTGCACAAGAGCAGTGAAAGCAGTAGCAGGCAGCACATGGTGCTGGAGTCCTGCCTGCACTCCTACCTGCCAGTAAGTGTAGGACTGGCTGCCTCATGCTTTACTGCAGCCTTTGGCTCTCCTGCTGCCTCCTGCCAGCGACATCATGTGCATTTTTCACAGTGACAAATAGCCCCTTGAATGTCACCAAAGGTCACGATGCTGTTACATTTCTTGCTGAAAGAAGCAATAAGGTCCTTGGGGGTCAGGCCTTTCTGGCTCCACATCTCCCTCCTGCAGCCAGCCTGATCCCACAGGGCTGCTCCGATGGGTGGTAAAGCAAACTCACCAGACCCCATTAATAAAAAAGAGGGGCTTCACACAAAAGGTGGAAGAATGCTAGTAAGAGTATTTATTTTGCCAGGGTGCTGTAGCCAGCTCTAGCCTAACTTTCCTGCTCAGTATTTGTGTTTGTTTTCTCCCCATTGCCTGGGTTGTGGGAGATTTATCTTCCGGAGAGAAAAGGTAGCTGGGCTCAGTGACATCCCTCTCCTTCAGGAGCCAGCCCATTTGGGCCATTTCCAGATGAGGGGAACTTAGTATGTGTGGCCGGGGCTGGGCAGCAACTTCCATCCGCCTTGGGAGGGCTCAAGAAGCAAGGTGAGCACCAGGGATGGGCAGGCATCCCAAAGCACCCTGTCACCCTTCCCCACCTGCATCTCTACCTGAGCAAAGCCCAGGACCCTTCAAACCACGAGTATCCACCATGTCCTGTTTGTGCTACTGCCAGCAGCTTGGAGATAGAGACCTGCCGTAGCCATGGAGGAGGTTTTCAGATGTGCTTCAGAGCAGGTCTGGTTTCACACACAGGTGCTGCAACGGGGCTGAATGGTTTTATATACATGGCAATCTAATTAAAGTCTGGGTTTTAACAAGTCTTGAGGGTGATGCTGTGTCATCATTAGAGCTGTCTGTAGGGGAGCCCCAAGCACTGGTTCAGATGGTTCATCTCCAGGGTTAATTCTTGTCCCCAAGAAAACAGCCTGATCAAAGTCCCTCTATGGTTTTACCTACCTGCAGAGCAGCAGCAGAAATCAAAAGCCAGGTCAGGTTCCCTATAGGAAAAGAAAAAAAAGGGATCAAAGAAACAGAGCCTGGATACAGCCTGTGTATGATGTGGCCTTGTTTTCTATACACCTGCTGATCTCCAAGGTGGACTTGCCACAGATGGGGCTGCCCCTGTGTCAGCAACTGCAGGAGACAGTTTGCCCTTAGTGTGGGTCTCACACAGCATGGGCATGAGCCTTGCTTTGGGAACTGGTACAGGGGCTGGAGAGGAAGAACAGTGCTGAGGGTTACTGGGTCACTGCTTTGAGCTAAAATCTGGGGGGTTTTAGGTAGCTAAGCAGGCTCAACACAGGCTCAAGGATACCAGCTGCTCAGGCAGAGCTACCCACAAGTCCAACAGGAGATGCACGAAGAGGGGAATGACCACAGCATCCAACTCTATCTCCGCTGGCATTGCCTGGAGGAATTCTTTATGAGGACATGAGATGACAGCCACACAGCACAGTATCGAGAGAGGAGTCACTGAGTTAATTTGGCTGCCCAGTTAACAACAAGAGTCTGAATGGCTCATGGCTCTCTGTCCAGGCAGAGAAAAGCTTGCCAGCCACGCAAAGAGGATAGGCTGGGGGCCCCAACGAGGCGCTTGCCCACTGCCCCATGAACAAAGCCCGGTGCAAGCACTGCTGTTGCAGAAATTCAAAGCAAAAGAGGGGCCTGGGATTGGCGTTCTCGGCGGCTCCCGCCCTCCTGCCTGCTCCAGACCCCCCCCTGCTTCCCCAGAGAGCCCTCCCCTTCCTGCGGCCATCCCAGAGCATCCATTCTGCCTGAGTAGGGCCTCAGAGTTTCTCTGCCCTGCAGGCACCTGCACATATGCACACACACACACGTGCACATGCTTCCCGGCCACACATGGACACTGTTTGGTGCTTTCTGCTTCTCCTGTAACTTTGCTCCTACCAGAAGGTGCCCAGCACCAAGGGGTGATGTTTCACATGTAAACCCCAGAAATGACTAAAAAACAGGTCATGAACACTTTAAACTCAAGCCTAGGACACTTTCTAAAGCACCCAGGCTGAAGCACAATAGGGATGGAAACTTTTCCTATCAGGGTGGGATTTGTAAGGTTTTGGACACCATAAAAGACCCATTTGTTTTCCCACTACTGCTCTTCCTCTCTGCACAGTCACAGCTCAGGGCCCAGGGGACAGAAGCGGGAAAAAGGCCCCAACCCTGCTGCTGGGATGAACATCCCAGCACTCTTTGGTCCATCTCAAGGCTGTCAGCCAGCACTGCTGGGGCCTGGATGTTTCCTGGTCCTGGAGGCTCTAAAATAATCATAGAATCCCAGTTTGGAAGTGACCTGAAGGATCATCTTGTCCGACCTTTCTAGGCAGAACATGACCTGGACTCTACATCCCACCACCTTGCCCAGCCTGATCTTAAGTGTCCGATGCTGGGGAGCCCACCACTTCCCTGGGCAGATTATTCCAAAGGTCGATTGTTCTCAATGGCCGATTGAAAAATTTTCCTCTTGTGTCCAGTAGGAATCTCCCTGGGTTGATTAAAGTGGGGACACAGCATCAGAGGTCTGTGAGGAGTACAGCTCTGCTCCAAGCACTCCGGGCTGGGAGAGAGATGGCAACAGGGACCTAGTGCTGTCCTTGACTCCCTCTGTGTAAAATTTTTCCCGTGCCTCAGTTTCCCTCTCTGTAGCTGGGTCGTGTGCCCAGAGCCTGTGACAGCAAAATAACACTTGGCCAAATACACAGAGCTACTGAGAAGATGTGAGACACCAACACAAGCAGCCCTGACTGTACCCGGTGCAGCCCGGGACTGTGCTCTGCCTCTGTGCAGGGCTGCCCTGCAACCCCAAGCCATAAATGTGCTCTGCCCGTGCCACCCAGCCCCAAAACATCCCCTTCTGCCCAGTGCCCTTTGCAGCAGCACACGTGGGCTCGGAAGTACCTTCCCAGGGGTGGGACTGGGTGAAGAGTATCGCTCTGCTCGCCTGTCACCCGCGGGGTGCACCCAGCAGCACCTCAGCTCAACCGGTGTCTCCCGGGCTCTGCCTGCCCCGAGGGCAAGGAATGGGACCAGGGATGGGACCGCGATGGGGGCTGCGTCCTGCGCAAAACGGCTGGATTATTCGGTACAAGCATACCCCCTGCCGACGAGCTGGAAAAGCACAGCTCCTCGGGCACCCCCCCCCCCCCAAAAAAAAACCGAACTGACCCCGGGGGACAACACTGGGGGCCCAGGCGAAGCCCAGCGGCTGAAGAGGAGCCGAGCGCAGACAAGGGGCTGGAGCCGGGCGCTGCCGGCAACAAGCGTGAGCACCCGGCACCCGCCCACCCGCGTCTCGCCAGGCCCGGCAGTGCCCAGTGTCTTCCACAGGAGTTTCGCGATTTCCAGCCTCTTCCGCCCGGCCCCTCCGCGCCCCACACGGGGCTCCCTGCGAAGCCCCCGCCAGCCCCGCGGGCAGCGGGTGCCCGGACCGGGGCACCCCGGGGTTGGGCTTTCCGGTGCTTGAGGTCGGTTTGCACTTTCCCCTCGGCGTGTGGCATTTTTTCTTGGTTTTTTGTTTTTTTTTTTTTCTTTTTTTTTTTTTTTTAATCCCCCCCCTCTGGCAGCGCTGCCCCAGCCCGACCAATGAGGGCCCTGTGGGGTTGGGGGAACCGGGCCGTGGGCTTTAAAAGCGGAGCCCTTTGTGTACCGGAGCCGGGTGGGGGTCTGCACCGGCTGCCGCAGGGTAAGGGATGCGCCGCCGGGATGCACCGCCGCTGCCGCCGGGAGGAGCCTTGGACCGCGCTGCACCGGTGGGCTCAGGAGCCCAGCACCCTGCGGCAGGTATTGCCTCCGCTTCTCCGGCACCCAAATAAACGTGTGGTGGCAGCCCAGCTTGCACTGCTCGCCGTTTGCCGGGTCTGGGGTGGCTGGGATTTTGTTTGTTTGCTTTGTTTTCCTTTACCCATATTGTTTGCTCCCTCCTTTGCACCTGATGGTGTGTTATAGCAGGCCCTATCGTATCCTATGGTAGGGCTGTGTATGTTGTGCTGTTGGTGTGGGGGACAGAGCAGGCTGGGAAGGTGGGGCTGTTGGTGGAGCTGGGGGTGCTGCCTGCCGGTGTTGGTGCTTGGCATCAGGCTGCTTGTGGGGATGGGGTGAGCACAGAGTGGGTCCCTGGGGCCTGTTACAGTAGGGTCACTCGACAGAGTGGGATCCGTGCTGCCGATCGGTGCTGCTCCAGGCCGGGTGCTGTATGTGCACCTCCAGGCTTTCCTCCCAGTGACATGGGCAGACTTACCTCCTTTGAAATTTGGCCCTCAACAGACCTACAAACCAACTGTGCTCAGGTACCAGCTGGAGGGAGTGCTCAGACCTCTGGCCTGGCACATCCTTGCAGCTGCCTTGTCACCAGGTTGTGCCATAGGCGGTGGCCCTGGGCAGCAGTAGCAGCCCTACTCTGTCCCCAGTCAGCCCTGCTGCAGTGGGACCTGCTTGCATCCCCTTTAGCCCCACTTTGCATTTTGTCCAAAGCCCTGCTGCAGTCCTAGAGCTGTGCCGTGTCCTTGACAGCAGGAAAGCTTCCTACTGGGCTCAGCAGTGATGATTGGAGCCAGCCAACAGCATCACAGGCACTGAACCTGGGCTGTCACTCTGTGTGCCATGTCCCCAGCATCCGTGCTGGGCTGGGAGGGGACATGCTGGTGGCCCAGGCTGAAGCTGGGAGATAGAAGGGTTGGGTAGGTAGTGGTCAGCCATCACACCTGGGTTTGCTCTTTGTTCTTGATGGAGACCCAAGAGTGGTGGAGAAGTGGCACACTCAGCTGGGGAGCATGAGGAGCCCCAGCCTTTGCACTGTGGAAAGCTATCCATCAAACTGCCAATGAACTTGGATGCTAAAGCAGTGCTTCTGTGCCAAAGCCAATGGCTTTGCGTGAGCAGAGGATGGAAAAGACGTCAGTCACAGCCACCCCATGGAGCCACCTCTCCTCACCTCTGCTGTTACATGGATGCGACTGCCCCGATTGCTGTCTGGAGTGTGGCTGAGCACCCATGCACTGTGATGCACCCCACAGGGCTTGCAGGCTCCCCTGCAGCACTGGGATGGAGATGAGCCCTGGCTGGGAACCAAAGGCAGACCTCACAAGCCCCCCCCAGGCAGCCGTTGGTGAGGCTGTCTGCATGAGCAAGAGCTGGGTCTGACCACAGGAGCCTGCGGCTGCAAGTGGGCCTGGTGGCCCCAGGAAGCAGCTCAGGGGCTGTTATGCAAATCGAGAGGAGCCAGGAAGCTGGTCAGAGGGCAGAAGAGTGAGCCTGAATTTCTCTTCTCTCATCTGTGTCACCAGCATTTACTCCCCTGGCTCTGAAATGCTGTGGCAGTGCCTGCTGAGAGCCTTTCCTGAGCTCCTTCAAGCATGGCATCTTGTACCTGGGTACCAGCTGGTGCTTGTCCCTGTGGCTGAGCAGAGCTGGGAACTGAGGGTCCCCCTGCTCCCAGGCTTGGACTCCATGTATATCACTCAGCCCCATGTTCTCCATGCTGGCTCTGTGGCTGCTGCAACGATGGGCAGGACATACAGTTTTGGGAAGGGGCTGGGATCAGTGTGGAGTGGTGTGTGGCTGGAGGCTGGTGGTGGGACAGAGTGAGGCTGTTTTCAGCAAAATCATTGTTCCTGGAGTCCTTCCATGCATGGCCTCACAACAATCTCTGGGACACTGGGACTGCTGCAGGGCCTTGAAGGAGGGAAACTACTATGGGATATGGAAGGGAAGATAAGCCTTTTGGCAACAGAGAGACAAGAAAAGGGGCACTGGTGGCTGAAGTATGAAATGTCCAGGGATCTGGCCCTGGTGCAGTACCCTGAAAGTCATCCTGATTCCTTTCTTGTGGCATGTCACTGGGGGTTAGTAGTGGCTGTTCTCTGCCAGGGAAATGCCCTGTCATTATCCTGAATGCACCTTTAAGTGATGGAGGCTGAGCACTGTGTGGCTCTGTGACACTGCCTGCAGACTGGCAGTGCTGCTCCAGTGGGATGGGGTGACTGCTTTTGCTGCCCTGAAGCGGGGTGCTCTCTGGGCTTGGGCTCCTGCTGCAGCCATTTGCCCCTGTGCCCTCCTTCCCTGCTGCCTTCCTGTGCTGCAGGGAGGCAGAGCACAGCTGAAAATACACCCTCCGGGTCCCCCCCTTCCTGCCTGTTTGCTTCCTCCCCTCCTGGCCTGGCTTTTCAATGTGGCTTCCTAAGGAAACAAAGGTCGTGCTGTCACACTTGGCCTATATATACACACAAACACACACACGTGTATGCGTGGCTGGCGCCCTGCTAATGAACTTTGACCACTTTTCCATCCTGGTGGACAGAGGGGCGGTGATCTGCAAACATGCTTAGGTTAATGGGGCTGGCAAGAATGAGCAACTGGGGGAGGGAGAGAGAGGCTTTCCTTTCCTTTAGTATGGACGGGGGCTGCTCTGCCGCTCAACCCCTTGTTAGATGGTGGAAAAGCCACACATGGGGCACCCAGTACACCCCACCTGCAGAGAGGTCTTTGATCTGGTTTGCATCTGAGCTGTGTTGCTGTGGAAGCTCCCTGGGGACCGATGTATGACTGCCAGCCCACTCACCTGGCTAAGCCCCAGCACACTCATCCCACAACTGGGGAGGAACTGAGGTGCTGGATACAGGTGTAAGAAACATGGGTTTTTCTCTGAGGGGCATCTGCTGGTATTTAAAAATGCTGGTTTTATTTTGCGCAGAACGGGAATATGTCTCTCCTTGCTCCCCAGCCACCACGTGAGCCCCCCCTGCCTGCACCAAGAGCCTGTCCTCTTCCTGCATCCCCTTGGATATGTTTTAAGCACTGGCAGGACAAAAGCGCTGGGGGGCCATGCCCCTGCCCAACCTGATACAGAAAATCTCCATGTTGAGCTCTGGAACAAGACAAGCGGACTCCAGATCTGAGCCCAGTGCTGGTGCCATAGCCTGGCTCCCAAACCCCCTGGCAGCCGTAGCCTGCACCACGTGCACCCCAGTAATGCAGCTGGGGGCCACCAAGCTCCATCAGTTCTGAGTCAGTAAACTGCCATCAAATGCAGTCATCCCGCAGCTCCCTGCTCCATCCATCTTCCCTCAAAAAAAAACCCAACTGCCAAAACCCACTGCAAAATCCACCCGTCTCTGCTCACGCTGAGAGCGCAGGGCTTGCACTGACTTACTGCTGTAGTTTTCCAGAAACTTCACCTCTGGACTTGGTGTTTCCGTGCTGTTTCAGCAGCAGCGTGCCAGCAGGGACAGCAGAGCTCACGGCAGTGCCTGAGCTGCCCACAGGCTGCGTGCAACAACTGGGTAACCTGTGGTGCCCTGTGGGCCATGCTTCCTTAGCCCCGTTCAGTCTAAAAAGTAGTTTGATTATTAAAATACACCGTGGGAAGAGCTTTAGGTTGAGCAGGCAAAGACAAAACCCTCCCAGGCTCTATGGCGATGCTGAGTGTGGAGGATCAGCGATCTCTGGAGGTGTGACACGTGGGGGTGACCCAGGGCAAGTGTCCCTTTCTGTCCCCAGGCTGCAGCCGGTGCTCAGGGGAGGGCAATGGACAGAGACCAGGCTCCTTTTCCCTGGATGCAGCTCCTCCGGGGCTGTGCCCCCCATTCCTGGGCAAGTAAAGGCTGCCAGGCACAGGGAGATGGGGCATCTGTACCTAGCCCTGGCCCTCAAAAGCTGCACTCCACACTGCAGGCTGCAGCCATGTTGCCCACACCTTTCCGCATGCAGGGCTGCTACATGTGCAGCCCACAGCTCAGCATGCCAGCACCCGCACCACGCAGCAGCTGCCCGGTGCAAGCCAGCCATCCCTCCACCCTTCCTGCCGTCACACTGGCTCCAAATGGGGTTTTATTGCATCCTGTTTTGCAACAGCATGGGGATGAGCCCATCGCAGGGCTCTGTCAGGCTGTGTCCCGCAGTCCCAGCAGGACGGGCTGAGCTGGGGTGGGAAGAGAGGCTGAAACTCTGCTGGTTCCCGGCTTTGGCTGCTGACCGTTAACGCTGCTGTTTTTACACTCAGTATCACCAGGACGTGGGTTATTCCCAGGAAGGAAGCCAGGCAAAACCACGCTCTTAAAACGCTCCAGTGGCCTTTGCAGCAGGAAGCCCTCAGGCTTTGCTAAGCAGCTGCCTGAAATTAGGGTTGGGGGACGCAAGGAAGCTGCCTTTGAGCACTACAAGGCTGCCCCTATGCCCCCTATCGCCTTGTTCCACCCACCCCAGCCTGGAGGGTCCCCTGGGCTGAGCAGTGGGGCTTGGTGCCCCCTTCCATTGTGCGAAGGCAGAAGGGGCCAGACCGAGTTCCCTCCTCTACTGGAGGGGCTGCCAGCGGGTGCTGCTTTGGCACCCAGCCCAGAAGCAATTACTCCAGCAGCACCATGCGCAGCGATGATGCCACGCTGCAGGAATGGCAGGGGTGGCTTGCCTCTGCTCCCGCTGCTCGTGGGAGCTGCCAGGCTGGGATTCAGCTCATTCGGCCACGTCCGTGTCAGGTCCTCCCACCCTCGTGGGGGGTCCTTAAATATCCCAGCTGTGACACCCCCCCTCAGCATGGTGCTGCCCTGGGCGTTTCCCCTCCTGGTTGCAAATGGGGGACTTATGCTCTGCAGTAAGCAGGCTCATGGGGTGCACCCCGTGCAGATGCTCCCATGACCTGGTGTCCTGGTTCCCTGAGTGGTTTGGGCCTGTGAGCAGGATCTCATTTGTGTAACGCACAGCACATTCCTGGTTGTTGGGGTCACAGAGGGAAGCTTGAAAATGGACCTGAAGGCAAAAAGAAAAGGAGACCCTTCATCTGGTGCTTTCTCTCAGGGGTTTGAAGACAGCCATGGTGGTGGGATCTGGCATGGTGCTTTCCATCCTCTCCTCAACCAGAATCCTCTTTCTTCAGCTATAACACTTATTTCTCCCTGAAAAATACCCCTGCTGCTGTTGTCGCCCTTGGCCCTGCTGTGCACCCAGGCAGCAGAACACAGTGCCTGCCCCACTGCAACAGCTGCTGCTTCCCATCACCCTCCCTCCATCCCTGCTCAGCACTGATGCCCTGGGCTCCCAGTTGCACCGGTGGATATTGGGATTGTGGCTCTTGGCCTTTTGGCCCTCCCTCTCAGCCTGTGGTGTTAGCTTGGGCCCCCAAAGTCAGGGTGTCCACACCCCATCTTCCTCCATCCATGGGCACTCTCTTCCTGTTTCTCTCTCCAGCCTTGGTTCTCGGTCAGTTTGCGGCTACTCTGCCCCAGAGAAGGGGACCACAAGTCCCAGCACTTGTCTAGTACTCAGAGCTAATATCCCCAAAATGGTATTTCTTTCCTCACAGACCCCCCTTTAGCTCTGCTCCCAGAGCGCCTACTGGCTATCCCACGGGATCTCAGCAGGGGGACTGTCATCCACCACCCAGCCTGTTCCTGCTGCGGCACACAGGGAGCCCTCCTCCCCACCGTGTGACCTTGTTTGGGACCCAGTGTTTATTAATCTGAGCTCAACAGGCAACTCCTCTTGGTGACTGGGCTAGCTGGTACTTGAGGGATGGAAGGGAAGGAGGGTAGGGAAGAGGGAGCAGCTCCTGAACAAAGCCAAACCTAGGGGAGAGATGCAGGGAGAGCTGGACCCTGTGCTGCATTAAGCGCATGCACAGGAGAGCAGCTGGCAAGGAGGAAAGTGACCCTGGTCCCCAGGGTATCATTTGGCTGCATGCTGGGGGATGTGGCTCTCCTCTGCTCCCAGTCACTTCTGCAGGAGGCTGGCACAAAGCATCCACCCAGACACATCCCACCAAAGCAGGGCACAGGCAGGCCAGCAGGTTCATTGCAATGCTGAACTCCTTCACAAGGAGGGGATGGAGAAGGGAACTGAATATTTAATGACAGCAAAGTGCCTTGATGCTGGTGTCTGGAAGACGCTGGGGAGGGGATGGGAGCTGTGATTGGAGTACTGCTCACCACAGGTAGCTCGTGGGGCAGCCACTCTGGGGCAGGGTAGCACCTGTACACACATTGTGTCCTCTGCCCTGGCTTTTTAGCCCCATTGCTGATGAAGGCATGAGTCACCAGCCCTTGCTTGTCACCAAGGGCACCATGGGGTAGAGGAGAGGGAGCACACCAAGATCTGGGGGCATATGCATGTAAAAGCATGGGCTGAGGATGGTCCACGCCTGTTTGCAGGTAAGCTGTGCCCTGCTGCTTGGGTTGATTTCTCCTTGGAGGGCTACGGGGGAAATGGGAGGGGGGGGGGGGGGAATATAAGCCCCGTGGGGATGTAGATGTTTTTAAGCACATCCAGCTTAAAAGTTTAAAAGCTTAAGCCAAAAGCCAGGGAGAGCTGGGAAAGGCTCCTGTGCTCTGGGAGGTAAAAGAGACAAGGCTGTCATTGCCAAGACAAGATAAACCTGAAAGGGGGAATGGATTAAAAACCGGGTGGAAGACGAGCGAAGGAGCCAGCACTACCGCGCGCTGCACGGTTTCCGGCTACAGGACCAAGCCTTCGCAGGCGGGGAAGGTTGGCCAGGGCCTGGGAACAGGATCCCACCCACCTCCCATCATTCACCTCGCACGCCCTCCAGTGCCGCCGCTCCCTCCTCTTCCATTTCCCGGCAGCCGCTTGTAGCCCAGTGCCGTTTCCCGCTGTCTCCCCGCGACACCGGAGAGGAGGACGGCGCTAGGAATCCCGACGGCTGCCCTCCCGCCCCGGTCTTGATGCTCGTTTCTGTGGGATCAGCAGCTGGGAGCACGGTGGAATCGAGCTCTCCCTCCAGGAGGGGACGGCAGGGGGAGCACCCCACTCTGCCCGGTGACCCAGGATCGGTACCCCCGCGCCCTTCTCCTGTGCACCTTCCCCTCCGGTGGGGCACAGCTTCCCCCTCTGGTTGCCCCCGCCCCAACAGCTCCCCCCTCTCGTTGCCCCTCTTAAACAGTGTCACCCTCTGGTTGTCCCCGTCCAAAACAGCGCCCCCCACTCGTTGCTCCCCTAGTACAGTGCCCCTGATGGCTGTCCCCGGGATAGCACTGCGGGGACAGGCATCCTTGAGGGTCAGGGCTGTTTCCCTAAGAAGGCATGTGCGCATGTTAACACACGCACACACACACACACATGATCACCTCTGTGTCCTCACACTGACCCCTCACTCGCACACTGGGGAGGAAACGAGGGACACACACTGGACACAAAAGTGTGGGTGCCACATGTGGGACCCCCACATGCACACTCACGCAGACCCCATTTACAGTGCCCTCACTCCTCATGGGCATGCACGTGCACACTTGCACACACTCTTGCTGTCACACCGCCACAGCCTGGCACATGCAGGCACAGCCGTGTGAGCACACACAGTGTCATGTGTGCAGGGTGTCAAGTGTCGGTCACATCAGCAGTGTGTCATGTGTGCAATGTGTGCACACCGTGTCACACATGTGCAAACACGGTGTCATGTATGCAATGTGTGCTTAAGTCAGGTGTCTGCAGTGTCGCATGTGCAGACTGCCACGTGTGCGGACACGTGCACAGCTACAAGAGCACATGGTAGTGTGTGCTGGCTGTCAGGTCAACGCACGCCCATACACCTGATTCACATGCATACAATTCCCCATGCACACAAACCGTCACAGGAGTACCCAAGTCACACGCACACACGGCCATGTGTGCATGCATCACCACTGCAGCTCTCTCCTGTGCACATGCAGCACCTCTCCATGCCTGCCTTGCACATGTGCCATGTCCCTCAGGGACCACCATGGTGCTCGGGCAGCGCTCTGTGCAGGGCTGCGGTGCCCAGGCAGGATGAGACGTGGGGGAGCGACGCGAGAGCTGGCGGAAGGAGGGCACGGCCCCGGTGTTGCTTCCACCAAGCTGAGGCCGGGACAAACTCATCGCACACGTGTGCAAGCCAGCTCTGAAATAACACCTCTCGGTGCTAACACAGCTCGGACACGGCGGGGCGTGGCGGTGGCGCGGGAGGGTGCCGGGAGAAGACACGCGTCCCCCGTCCGCGGGGCACGGTGCGAGTGGGGTTCTTTGTTCCTCCTGCCGCCGGTCCTCCATGATGTGGAGAGGGCGCGGGCGAGGCCGGCTCTGCGAAATGGCGGCCGGGGGAGGCGGGGATCGGCAGGAGGAGGAGGGGGGAAGGCCGGGCGCCCTCCCCGCGCACGCCGCCGCGCACACAAAAGGCTGCAGGGAAAACACGGAGGGTAGCGGGGCGTCGTGCGGAGCGGCCTCTCCGGTGTTGCACCCGCCACTCCTCGGTACGGGACTGCCTTTCCCAAGACCCGGTGCCGCACAGGTCGCAGCACGCAGACCCGGGGGGGGGGCCCGTCACCCCGCCCGGACAGCCCGATAAGGGATGCGGTGGCAGTCTGGGGTTCGGTGGGGGTGTCGGGACTGG